TTAAATTTGGGTATGATGATAGGGAGATATCTCGGTAGAGGCAACAGAAGACAACGCTTCAAAACGTTACCTTGCAACAGTAGATTCCGAGAGTTCTAACCTTTGGGGAGTAAACAATGAAGATGACCTAAAGCCTTGTTGGAGAAAATATATTAATCGTAAGTTATAGAATTTAATTTAGTCTTTATTTTGTTGTTCGATTAGCTCAATTTTAAATAAAAAACACATTCCTGCTTCTGATCTTTTTTATTTTTATTTTTTACCCACGGGAAGGGAGATTTGGGAGGCCTGGGGTAAAGTGGGATCAATCTCAGTCCATTGAGAATTGAACTCGGGACCTCCCAGGGAGAGTGAGTCGGCGACCAATTGAGCTGGACCGCTCCCTCTCCTCCTTCTGATCATTTATATATACACGTCGTTATTCATCACTGATGAATTAATTTAGTTACTCTATAAGTTAAAGTGATTTCGAATTTAATTTAACGACCCGAGCTCAACGAGCTTTGAGCTGAACACAGACTAGATTTTGAGTTCAAATAGTTATTCAAGTCAAGTTCGAGCATAGTGATATTTGGTTCGATCCGGACTCCAACCCGTTGATAACTCATAAGTTATAGGAATATATTTTATTTATCTTAAAATTTAAACATTTTTAGTGCAACTTTATAAATCTATTTAAACACTAAAAAAGAGACTTAATAAATCTATTTTATTCAAGCCAAATTCGAGCTTAAATGAATAAAAACTATTTTATTATCTACAAAAAAAATTCAATTAATAATCAAACATAATTATAAAACTAAAAAAATAATACACAACATAATAGATTAAAAGAGTATTATAGTATATGTGGACGAGCGGACAACTAGACTCGGCTAGAGGCAGCTAGTTGGACTCGAATAGACTAAAGAGGCAGAGCCCCAACGAGCTACAGGCTGGAGTGCCTAAATATGGAGGGACGCTGACGGCCGACGTAGGGCCCGAAACAGGAGGTGGCGGTGCGGTTAGGCACCTGTGCTCGTGATTTCGTATCTTCGTCACTTTGCTGAGTTGAGTGCTTCCGACTTCTGCTTCATGCTTCTTAAAGTCGCTTTATAGCACAAGTAAATATACTTCTAGAGCTCTAAAATTCCAAATAGTAGTTCTAACTATGCTTGTTGCAAAAATTAGAAATAGATAATGAACTGAATAACTAAAAAAAGCATAATAATAATAATAATAACATAATTAATATATGACTAGATAAGTATAATGTATAAAAAGTGACTTAGTTATTTCAATGATTATAATTATGTTTAGATTATACAAATACAATGCTTATAAAAGTTACTCATAGTGACTTGGGTAAAACAAATATCTTAACTTAATGTTAATAATATTTTAGGAAAAACTCATGATAATAATAGAAGTAGTAGTAGTAATATTAATAGTATTATTATAATTATAATACGATTTATAACAGTGATATAATAAAACTATAATAATCGTCAAATTAATATAAAGTAATATTGTAAAATTAATGTGTAACATAAGCATCTTGTAAAATAAGCATCTTATTTTTAAGAGTAGATGGATGGTGTGGGTGAGTGGGTGAGATGGGATTGCACAATTTGCACCTTGCTCTCAACCTAGCTATATACTCCGTACAATACCACGTATGTATAATTTTCCTCTTCTCAAATTTTCCCACACCGACTGCATATGATAGTTTAGCATCTTGATTGCCCTACAAGTAATTCGCTTCATGCTATTATTGATGCAGGCAATGACCCCAAAGCTTATTAGGACCATTGGTTGTCATTGGTACGGGCTTTTAAATGTTTGGCCTGCCTTCTAAACTTCACAGAACACTTTCCAGTCATCTAGTGGACTTGGGCTGGGCTGAACAATAATTAGCGGTGGGCTGAAAATTAGATCTATTACTATACTAATAAAAAATAATTGGGTTGGGCTGGGCTGGAGCCCACCGCCGCCCATACATACATCTGCCCCTGGTTAATACTTGCATATCAGTTTAATAAAATATTAGGTTAAATTATTATAAGTAATTTTTTACTTTGATTTTATTTCTGAAGAGATATTAAATTAAAAAATAAACATTTTGATGTTAAAAAAATGTCGTTATTTTTTTTCTTTTTTCGGTTTTAATAAAACAATAAAATGAGTTCATGTAAATTTACTGTCACGGATTTTTCGTTTTTTCGTGACTAAGATTAATCAGGAATTAATTTTTTTCGGTTTAAAATAAAATATAGTCACGGATTAATGTCCGTGACTACTTCAAAATTTCAAAGATAGAAAACCGCGGTCTTTCAAAAATTTTGAAAATTTGAAAAATTGGTCACGGCTAAGTCCGTGACTAAGATGGCGGAATTTTTAAAAACCGGATTATATTAGTCACGGCTAGATCCGTGACTAGTATATAAAAATAGAAAAAAACAATAGTCACAGCTCTGGACCGTGACTACTACGTCGGAGAAGTTTTCCGGTCTATTATTAGTCACGGCTGGCGACTGTGACTATTCCGTGACTACGTTTAGTCACGGTTAATGTGGCAGTGACTGTATTTAGTCACGCCCATTAAGTCACGGAATTAGTCACGGCTAGCGACTGTGACAACCTCTGTTAGTCACGGAAAATTTGAACTGCCGTCCGTGACTAAATCCGTGACTACGTGCGTGTTTTTTTGTAGTGAAAGTTCAGTTATTTGTTGAGACATCGTTAATTAAAATTTTATGTTTCGTGTTTTTTGGACCTGAACAACTACATCAGTTGAAACTTCATTTTTTTTAAACTTTATAAATACAATATTGGTGTAATATGAAAGATCATAAAAACTATGAATATTAATATCTTTTTTGACAAATTTAGACCACCATAAAAAAATCAGTCTTACAAAAAAAAGGATTCTTTACGTGGAGATGGCGTCAACATGACCTCACCCGCATAACACCAGCCTCATGTAGCTCTTTTCCTCCCCTTTTCATTTTCTTTGGGGCTTAAGGAGTGTTTGGGGTTCTTAAAAAAAGCACTTTTCAGTTTTTGACTTAAAAAAAGTTGAAAAGAGTGTTTTCAAATGACAGCTTCTACTTAAATTAATCACTTAAAAGCTAAAAGCTGGAAGCAGATAGAACGGTGCTTTAAACTGCTTCTCACTTTTTCTATTACACAAAAAGTACTTATTTTACCAAACACTACCAACTTTTACTTTTTCAGAATCACTTTTTTCTCAAACACTACCAACTTTTACTATTAATCACTTTTCCCAAAATCACTTTAAAAAATCACTTTTTTAAAGTTGAAGCAATTGCAAACACTCCCTTAATTATCGATCTTCCCTCTATTTAAAGCCCTCACACTCCGCTTTCAACTTTTAAATCTTATTTAACCTCCAATCATCCAATGTAAGCTTTTAGAATTGACTCTGCTTATGTTTCTTTTTTTGTAAAAGAAGTAGAATCAGGGTCAATTTTTCAAAAGTTAGGGAGTGTTTGCAATTGTTTCAACTTCAAAAAAGTGATTTTTTAAAGTGATTTTGGAAAAAGTGATTAATAGTAAAAGTTGGTAGTGTTTGAGAAAAAAGTGATTCTGAAAAAGTAAAAGTTGGTAATGTTTGGTAAAATAAGTACTTTTTGTGTAATAGAAAAAGTGAAAAGCAGTTTAAAGCACCCTTCCACCTGCTTCCAGCTTTTAGCTTTTAAGTGATTAGTTTAAGCAGAAGCTGTCATTTGAAAACACTCCTTTTAGCTTTTTTTAAGCCAAAAGTTGAAAAGCGCTTTTTTTAAGCAACTGCAAACAGTGCTTTAGTCTCCCTCACCTTCTAAAGTCTTAGGTAGGGGTGAGCATATCAATTTTTATTTCGATTTTTATCAGTTTCGGTTCGATTTGGTACGGATTAGAAGAATTATTACGAAACCTATATTCACCCCTAGTCTTAACTAGAGCAAACTTAAACATATCAATTAGTACTCTAGTTGGCATATACATCCGAATAATGTTGTAACAAAATATTAATGGTATAGATTTGTTTTAATTTATACTATTATATTACTCCCTTCTTCCCGTGGGAAGGTTCCTTTGAATAAGTGGCACGATTTTTAGGCAAGTGGTTAAATAAAGTAATTTGGATAAAAAGAGAGAAAAAAGAAATTTTATTAAAAGTAAACATATAAAGTGAAAGTAACTAAAGAGAGATAAGTTGGGAGAGGTGAAATTGTGAGACTTAATATGTAATGAGTAGGAAAGAGAAATTTGAGTAAATGTATAATTAGGGCATCCTCATTGGTAGGATTATTATGAGATTAAGTTGGTGACATGGCAGGATTTTCAGAAAATTATCATTGAGTGACATAGATTATTTAATGGGATTATTTGCTACAATAATCCGGGATCAAAATATGAATCCAGATTATTTTAAGATTATTTGAAAAGTATATGTAATAGAGATTAATGCAGGACAGAGGAAAAGCAGATTATTTGAAGATGATGATTGAGAGACGTAAAAGAATTTTGAGATTATTTCAAAATTTATTGCATAACAATATTTAAATGGTAAGAATCATAGAAAAAATTGATTATTAGAGATCATGAATGGAGACGCTCTTATAACGAGTAAATTATTTCTTAAAATAGAAGGAGAACCTTTAATTAAATGGACACTCAAATAAGGAAAGTGAGAACCTTTCAACAGGACATAGAGCCCGTTTGGTAATAGCCAAATCGACTGTATTGGCTAATTCTGCTGAAATTTATGAAGTTCTGGCTGATGTGGCTGTAATGGCTGATTCTGTTGATTTGTGAAAAATGATAATTTAAAATACATTATATTAATAAAATAAGGGAAAACTGTCAAATAGGTTCTCGAACTTTCATAAAAAGGTCAAATAAGTCCTTATATAGGAGGCTCTGTCCGGCCGTCGCGATTTGGGGCGGTTCCCGATGGAATTTTTTGATGAACATTTTTTAGCATACACGGGGTTAGAATGTGCATATGGATGTTATGCAGTTATGCTTGGCACATTAATTTCTTTTCAAAGAGCCACACAAAGACCAACAGTGGAAATCACACAGGGGTTGTTTGGATTCCAGCGTTTTCTCCGCCACACACGGCTAATCGCAGTGTTTCCTTTGTAAAAAAATTGGCGTTTTGCTCCACACGCCAATATCCAAACAACCCCGTAGTGTAAGATGAAAAAACTAAACAAAAAATTGAATACGCTGTGATTTGTTAATTTTTTTTCGAAAATGTATACTCTGTGATTTTATATAAAAATATTATGTTTCAGTGAAATCTCAACAACAATCAAGGGGTTATATCTTTTTAACTTTGGCTCAAGATCCTGAGTATCATTTGGCACAGGTATTAATATGTCTCTTCCTCTACATTTTCTTTTCCTTTTTGAGCTTGAACTTTATTCCGTAAATCTTTGGAGTAAACTAAACATGCCTTTCTGTACAATTTTTAATATCAAACTTTCATTTTTTTCAAGCTTAAATAGCTAGTAGGTTTTTTTTATATAGTAATAGGTAAAATGATCAACATATAGTTACAAAAAAAACACTGGCAGACATTTAGTTATGATGCTGATTACTGGTACAGAGCTTTTAATAGTAATTAAATAAGTAATTAATTAAAATACATCAAATTTCAAATTTTAAAGCAAAACAAAATCTCAGATCAAATGCTATGCTACTCTATATTAAATTTGCAGATTGCCGATGCCGTTGTTGTTGCTAAACACCTTGGAGCTACACTTGTCCTTCCAAACATAAAAGGAAATGAACCAGGGAAGAAAAGGTTAGTAGGACAATTGTACCAGGTTCATTTTATTACTCCGGTCTTTAACTAGAAAATTTATTTATAATCTAATACTTGATCTGTATTTAGCATAAAAGAAACTTTAATTTACAATATATAGTAAAAACAGATGGATAGTATACCGAAGTAAACCGAATCGAACCAAACCAAAAATAACTTATGATTTTTGTTTGATAATAATTTTTCCAATCCGTTCCAAACCGAACTGAAACTGATAAAAACCGAACTGAACCTAGACAGTGAATTGGTTCATTTTGAATTGAATGTTGTTTCGAGTTTATATTCAAATATTATGGGTTTTGGATGTTTTAAAATAATGTGTTTTGTGTCAATGCTATATATTTATCATATTTGTATCTAATATACTACTTAGATGACTTATTACTTTTAGGTGAGTTAAATGCCAATTTAATATGCTATAAGAGTGTAATATGATTGTAGTTTGTATGTTTGTTTGACACCATGATTTCGGATAGTACATTAGAGATCGGTTTGGCCATTTCTCCCCACCCTAGTTTGGATTGATAGGGCGTGTTAAGTTCATGTATTGAATATTTCTCAAATTTATACATCTTGGCAACAATGTATGTTCAGGAAGTTTGGTGATATCTATGATGTGAAGAAGTTTGTTGAAAGCCTGGATAAGAAAGTGCCTCTAGTTATGGATCATCAAGCAACAGAAATATCCAACCAAAAGGTTAACAAAGTGAAGGTTCCTAACATGGTTTCCAAAGAGTTCATCAGCTCAAAAGTTGAGCCAGTATTCAAGAGCACGCCAAATATAAGGATTGCCACTTACTTCCCAGCATCAATGGAACAAACAAGAAAACTAAATCCATATGCATGCCTGGCTGTGTTTGACACCCTCAAGTTGAGGCCGGAATTGCAAGAATCTATAGACACAATGGTATTAACACTAAGAAGTCTCAGTTCCCATTCACAAGGCCGATTTGTCGCGGTTGATTATAGGGTGGAGAGCCTACCCGAAGGCGGTAGTAAGTGTCCTGACAGTGAAACATCAACCCAAAACTGCATTGATGCCAATGATATAGTTATGCATTTACAAAAGATCGGTTTTCCCAGAGAAACAACCATTTATTTGACACTAAATGGGTGGGATTCAAGCCTTGAACATTTCCGAAAAGCCTTTCCCAACACTTACACCAAGGTAAATTCTATGTTTTTTTTTGCATTATCAATTCAAAAGTTGCTTGGCTTGCTCTTAGTTTATTCATCAGATTTTCTGTGTCAATCCATCATACATTAACCAATTATAAAACAAGAAGCCATATATAAGACTACAGATTACACTTCTTGATAAAGAAGAGTAATCAATGAGTTGGGCAATGGGGGTAAAATGGTAAATAGGTATTCCTGCATATTTGATATAATCTTTATTCATTAGGGGGGGTAAATATATAAATTACACCCTTGGCTAGCCCATTGCCTGATCCCTTTCATACTTCACTCTTACTTATCATACTAAGTTCTCCTTTTCTAATGAAATGCATCAATGTTAGTGTTGAGGATCGACAATATATTAACAGTTAGATTTTGTTTTTTTGCAAATAAAAAATGATGCACAACTTATCTATACATGGGATGGGTTATTGGTTCCAAAGTTGCTTGTTTTGGACTTGATTTCATTCACTCCATTCTCTATGTAAGCTATAATAAGTTACACATCAGTCAATCTAGAAAACATGAAGCCATCATATATTCATATATAAGAATAATAAGACACCCGATCACTCCTTTTAATACGTTGACTTTTGTAAGGAAATGAATCAATATTAATTTTTTTTGTTCTAAAATATTAAGAAAAAAGATAAAAATAAAAAACAGTGCAACATTTTATACATGCATGCACATAACCTTCATTGAAGATTGATCTTATTGTTGCAACAGGATGTAATCATCCCTTCGAACGACAAGTCAAAGTTCTTGGATCCTGAACATCCTGAACTCAGACAGATTGTGGACATATATATATCTTCAATGGCAGATGTTTATGTACCCACATCATCAAACATGTTTAATGACAACATTGTGGCAAGGAGAATCGCAGCTGGAAAGACCCGAGTTCTTGTGCCAGGCAAGGGATCATCGGATTCTGCAGATGACTATGTTCCTGCCTACATATCCATGAAAAGGCATTGGGCATATTCATGCTTTTGTTGATCAAATCAATTAAGTCAAAATAATGGATGTTTGATAAGGTGATGAATAATAAGGACAGAATGTCCAAGTAAGTTAAGTAACTATCTATCCATCTACCGCCTTGTAAGTTTTTTTTTTTGAGGGATACCGCCTTGTAAGTTGATAACAGTTATAAGGGTCAAGTCTTAAATCTTGTGAAATGTTCATATGCACCTAAGTTTGATCTTTTTCAACATATGTGTTGTTCAGAAAGTATTGCATTGAATTAATTAGAATGCCTCAATTCATTACAGTTCCAAAAGCCTTCATTATTATTCCCATTATTTGACACCAACCAAACCGCAATGGTTGCACAACTCATATACTTATATAGATGTGTGATGTGTCAGCGGTGGAGCTAGAATTGCCATATTAGGGAATGAAGCTTGAAATGATTATACTTGGGATATTCCTCCCAAAACTTCATATTTCAACATATTTGTTTATAATTTAAAATTTTTGGTGTGTGATTGGACACCACATTTTTTTGTGGGGGAGGGGTGTGTGGCCCCCTCTAGCCCATTCTTCACTCCGCCAGACCGCCACTGACAGGTGACACCACGTCTATCCAACAATACTTAATTAGCTTCTTGGCTTATCACAATAGCCCCTGTTTCAATATCCTATTTCAGAGTCTTAGAAATGTGTTTAAGACATGGAGTTATATACTCCTATGAAACTGGGCAGATAAAGATGAGATTAATGCATAAATGCAGCAAGAGACACAGACAAGAATCGGTATCCACACAAAGATCACATATATGAATTTAAATAATACATCCACGTACATGATGACATCCTCTAAAATTGAATCCAATACAAAACTATTTCAGAAGCATCGATATAACATATAATCGTGAAAGGGGAATAAGATATGACTATCAGCTATCGTTCTATAACTACCATTTTCATCACAAGAGCATAAATTTATTTAAAGCTCTACAGACCTGGATTATGAACACAATCTAACTAATGAAGTAATATAACCTTTGGGTGCACTGTGGTTTAAAGAACTTCAAGGTGGGGCTACACAGATTCATCACCAAGGCTTCCATTCTGTGTACACAATCTAACTAATGAAGTAATAAAACCTTTGGGTGCCCTGTGGTTTAAAGAACTTCAAGGTGAGGCTACACAGATTCATCACCAAGGCTTCCAGTCTGTGTACCACCATTTTCTCTGTGCTCCTTCAGTGTTTGTGAAAGCGGAGATTGTCTAATGGCAGCTTTTGCAGCTTGCTGCTTGGATTTCAAATTCAGGTAAGTGTAGATAGTCATACCAACGAGAGCTGTAGTTGCCCCCAAAATGCTAGTCACTCCGGGATTTGAACCAAAAAGCAAAAAGCCAGCAAGCAGGATGACACATGTTTTGAACTGTCCAAGGACGACATGAGTGGTGGCAGATGTTTCTCTGCAGGTCAACAGGGAGAGTGATTTTCAGAGGAATATATTACACATTGACAAAATATTTCTTTAATGGACTGTTTGATAATTGATGAATCACCAAAACATCTTGCAGATTTTATGGGTTACTAAAGGAGTGGTTCCAATTTCTTAAAAAACACTTTTCAGCTTTTTGCTTTAAAATAGCTAAAAGTAATGTTTTCAAACCGATGCTCCTGCATTAAGTTAAGCAGTTTACAGCTAAAAGCTGAAAGCAAGGGGGATGTTTAAAATGCTTTTCACTTTTTCTATTACACAAAAAAGTACTTGTTTGCCAACCGCTACCTATTACTTTCTTAAAATCACTTATTTTCAAACACTATTCATTTTTACTTGTAATCACTTTCAAAAGTAGAAGTAAACGAAAAACTCTCTAAGACTTTTAATTGAACTAGCATACATAATGGAATCAATCGTCTAGTGTGGTTTGGCCCAAGTAAGTTATGACCCAGATGAGTGAGCCCCAACTAAATCCTGATTTATGTCAAGGTATCCTGACCCAGAGTAGGTTTTAGCCTACTCTGCATGGTTAGCTTCAAAATGGACCAGCTGTCTACTTTTTGGGAAGTGTTATAATGTTACATCTAAAAATTAGAGACAGAACAGTGAGTTAATAAGCCTCTGGGTTGACCAAGTTTATAATTGGATTCAAGATTTCAGTGTGGTTTGACCCAAGAGTCTTATGGTCCAGTTGAGAAATCCAGAGTTCCAGACCCAATACTGAATTCTATAAATTCCTATCTGCACACTTGCGAAGTAATAGAATATGGCATTTTGACATTAAATTGAAAAGTCACTGCAGATGAAAAGTTCTTGTAAACAAAGAAATACAGGTGCTACTTGTTTACTTCACTTAATAGATTACACAAGTTACTCACCCAAGTGCAAGAGCACCTGACCACTGAAGTAAGAACCCAAGAACAGCAGAAGCAAGAACAATTGTGGTGTTATACACATTCCAACGGAAGGAGAGGACACCTGGTGGATCAAGTGATGGCATCAAAAGAACAAGGAAGAACACTGTAATAGGTGTGGTCTTCCACATTAGCCTGGAAACACATAAGATTAACATCAGAAGTTTGCAGATTAACCCCACACCACAACAAAATTAAAAGGTAATAACTACTTATTATCAAAAATAAAAAATAATAAGAGAATAACAACAGCATGAGACCATACGCTAATGCAGTCCAGTTCTTCTGCTGCTGAAGGTTAGACCATAGTATCTTATTCGTTGCACTTGGCACTATCCAGGCAACTGCTATGCAAGCACCAAAGAAGTGAAATTGCAGATCAGTCACTGTGGCTATTGCAACACCTATGGATACTAGAGTAAGTGCAATCACCTGAAACATACCAAATGATCATTTTCAGGGACAAGCTATCTTCTTTCTTACAATTATACATTTCTACCATCTACGAACAAGTGGGTATTTATACAGGATGTTATACTTATAAGAATCTTGATATTGTTACTAAAACAGCTTGAGCAATGTACGTATTAAAGATTCAGATATCTCTACCATCTTCAAGCAGGTTTATCATTTTAGCCTTGCTTGGGGTGTTACACAAAGACTATCGTCTGAAGACCCCCATGATAATATTTTTGGATATTATTGGGATATTTTGATATGGATTGACTTCCTGATATTGTGTTGCTATTGGTGGTAACCTCATCTCTTAGAAAACTGAGAAGCAATTAGTCAACACAGATCAAGTGTTCAAATATACTATTGCGGTTGATTGTCATTTCATAAATAAATAAAGTCATGATTTGACTCATTAATACTGAATATATTAGTTCTACATTAGTTCTGATGGGAGATTGATATTATCACCAAGCCACTGAGAGATCCTAGAATAGAACATATTTTTAACAGACTAGAATTGTATGATTTGTTTGATCCAGCATGAGAGAAGGGGTTGTAGATTTAAATATTTAATTGTTACCCTAACCCTAGCGTAGCCCTATGTGTATTTCCTAACCAGTCTAGTATTATGTACTTCGTATTTGGTATTGGGGCTCGATGCAGTGGTGGTTCGTAGGATGCCCCATACTTTGAAGAATTGAAGTAACTCTTTTGGGGTCAGTTTGGACCTATTTGTTCATCCCTTAAGTTGCCCAATCTGGTTTAAGCTGAGGGATGTGTTGACTATGTTGCATCAGGTGTGTATTGCGTTTGAGTGTTGTATATAGAAGTCTAGGACTGCAGGGGTACCTCACCTCTTGAAGATCTTATATGGTAAGTTAGACTCAACTTAACTACTAATACTCTTACAATTACCTTCTGGCCAGAAATTTTCTTCTGGAAGAAAATAAACTCAACAATCACGATCGCAGGTGTGACTGCAATCTTAGCCATTTGATAAAATCCAACACTGCATATGTATTCATTAAGGCATTAAGATGCAAAGGAAATAAAAACATATGGAACAGAATAAGCACCATAGGGCATACCTGTTGTATTTCAAGCTGACATTTGCAAGACCAGTAGAGAGAGACATAACTATTCCGAGAGAAACCAACGAAGAATATTTTGTTGACTTTGGAGGCGGAGAGAGTGAAAGAATGGAGAAAGCCTTCAAAATGGCCATTATCAACCAGCTAAATATGTAGTGGATAAAAGTTAGACATATTGGATAGTTGAACCCGACTTCGACGAGAACCTGTGTAGGGTAAAACGTTATACTCTATAAAGATGCTACTGCAGTAAGTGAAAGGAATGATGCATAGTTAACTAACCAACTTGTTCATCAATATAATGCTAATAGATACAACAAAGTTGAATGATAGCGCAATGATGGGTCCCCATAAGGTCGGTTGCTGCCGCTTTGCACCTCCAAATGCCCTCAATTTGCTTAACAGAGATGATCGTGTCTCCTCTAATGCCTTTCCTGTGTGATGAAATTAACATATATCTCATTTGCTTAACTAATAAAGGCACTTTCACAAAAAAAAGATACTTTATTTCTTAATTTGGTTTCAAGATACTTCATATCAACATTGTACTATTATTGGTGCCAATCAGAATCCTTTCATTCTTGAAGAACAACAAAGCTCAACCTTTTTCAACCTAAGATCCATCCTCAGGAGCACATACCAATTAACTTAATTTAATCAGTGAAAAGAGGGTCAAATTAAAAAAATGAAAACCAAAACAAAATACATCTTTTGGGCCTTTTAACTGCAGAGATGGCAATAAGTTAAAGAATTGATGTTTCAGCACCTACATTAAGTAATGGCTCACCTCAAACAGTAAGTCTTGCCCGGGAAGACTCAACAAAATCCAGAAGAAATGGAATGAACAAAATGCAGAACAAAATCAAGTTTTTTATAAAAGATCCATCCCCATAGACACTCATAACAAATTAATCTCAACTAAAAAAAATTGAAAATCACAGCCTTTGAAAATGGGGAAAAATTCTCAGTCTTTCTCCCAAATATACGCAAGATGCCAAGATATAAACTTCCCAACACCACAAAAAATGGAAAAAGCTTACCTATATCCCCAGCATCACTATCCTTTCGTTTGAGAATTTTTTTGACATCTTTTCTGTTAAGAAAACTCAACATATCTTCACTCAGCTACAATCTCAGTTCCGCTCATGCACAGAGCACAGTAACGGTGTTCTTCTCACAGCATTCATCACTAGTGGGAGGCTTTTGGCGAGCTTGATTTGGCTACTTTGCGTAATAAGAGAGGTTAATCACTTAATTGGTGGAAGAAAACCGGCTCCACTCTTTCCTAAGTTCCTTGGCCTTATTTCTT